GAACGGTCTGGACAGATGGTGTGCATCCCAGATTTTCTCTCCTGTTACTGTGACCTTAGAGGCAGAGAAAAGAACAGGGGAAGGCTGTGTGGAGCCATTTCTTTGGAAGACTCCCCAGCCATATGCCACTGTCAACACCATTCACTTTAAGGAAATACAGGATTGATCACACTGCCATCTCTAAAAGGGAGGACCTGAAACTTGAAACTAGTGTGAGGGTTTTTTAAATTTCATGATAGTGTTTTTTAAACCATGTATGGTTCATGCTGAGAAAACCCTAAAACTATAGAATGCTTAATATTTTTTTTAATGCTTAACTTTTTTAAGGAGGGGAACTCCATGGAAAAGCATCTCTTTCCATTTATGCTTTCTGACTGATACCTTGGATTCTAAGATTTAATAATTTTACTGTTAACAGCAACTGTAAAGATATAGTGAACACTATGTCTGCTAGGTACACTCCCCTAATAGAGTATTAGAGAATCCTATATCACTCTTTGATTATGTCTTCTAATTACCAGCTCAGGCTTGGGGGAAGCTAAAACACACTGATGGTCAGTGACTGTCTAAGGCCGTGGACCATTAATAACAGTGCCATGATTTCATCTCCGAATAGATTGACCCTGGTCTAAACACTTGAGTTAATAGTATAAATTAGTTGAATCTTGTGAAGTATTAGAACAGTGTCTGGCACCCTATAAGTACGTGTTGCTGGTAAATACTGCTTCTATTCCCACATCTAGATTATCTCTACTGCTGCAGTTTTTCATCAGGTGCTGGACTAGCACAGATCACAGACCCTTCAACACATACTGACTTGAGGAGTTACCCCCTTGGTGAGCATTTTCTTCCTGGGTATCATTCAGCCTTTTACTTCTTAGTTCCCATTAGTCTTTCATTTTTCTGCTGTTGTATCTTTTAAAGATATATGTTCTTTATCTGCTTAATTTTCAAAAGTTGTCTGTGTTTTTCATATTTGCTTTTCATCCATAGAGTCCAGATCACCAGTAATAAAAAGTCATGATAATATAAGAAGTTTTTGTTTTTTTTTCCCTGAGGGGTAGTATAAGGGAGGGTTTAATCTCTTTAATTTTCTCACAGAGTTTGTACATAATTAGCATTATTGCTTTCTAACATATTCAGTGGAGTGTACAGGTAAAGCTGTCTTAGCCCAAAGTTCATGTGGGAAGTTTTTCCTTTATAAGTTTTTATTACCATATATTCATTGTACATGGTAATGGGTTTCATAAAGGCCTTTTGTTTCAAACATGGGTACTTTGATATCCTCCATAACCTCCTCTTTTTCCTTGTTCCCCTAAGTCCCCTTCCTTCTCTCAGTCCTGCTTCTAATCATTTTTCACACATTGTCTTAGTTAGGGTTTCTCTTGCTGTGAAGAGACACCATGACCATGGCAACTCTTACAAAGGAAGACATTTTCCTTGGGGTGGCTCAATTACAGTTTCAGAGATTCAGTCCATTATAATCGTGGCATAGTGGGGAACATGGCAGGAGCATGGCAGTATGCAGGCAGATGTGGTGCTGAAGCTGAGATCAGGCAACAGGAAGTCAACTGAGACACTGGGTGGTCTCCTGAGCATAGGAAACCTCAAAGCCTACCGCCACAATGACACATTTCCTCCAACAAGGCAATACTCACCTCCAACAAAGCTACACCTCCTAATAGTACCACTCCATATGAGATTATGGGGCCAATTACATTCAAACTACCATATTCTACTCAGTGGCGCCTATAAGCTTGTAACAATATTGTAACGCAAAATCTATTTTAGTCCAACTTCAAAAGTCTCTCATGTCTCATTAATGTTTAAAGTTGAAAGTCTGTTCTGAGATTCATGCAGTCTCTTAACTATAATCCTGTATAAAATCAAAATAAAAAACCAGATCACTTACTTCCA